TAGTCTATTACTTATTTTTATTATTATTTCTATTTTGTGTTATTTTTGTAAAAATTTAATTTTAAATTATATTATCAACTACACTGTCATAATACTAAAAAAAATTTTAAAAATACACATTTAAAAATATTAAATTACAGTTTTGTCGCTAGTTGGTAAACAGTTAATATTAAACCATACCGTGACAAATATGCTCTATAATGGGACATTTTGAACGTTTACCCATAAATACTGGGAGCAATCTCAAAACTTCTTTCACTGTTCTTGTCTTCACAGAACTGCATACGTACCGTTGGTAATGTTAGGTGTTGTTTCCCATGGTAAATCATTTCCTAGGTAATGACCAACGACAACATGAATTCCACGTTTATCAATATATTCTTTCTGATGCTTGTCGTTCCGTATCATAGTCATTACATCATCATCCTCAGGATCACCATACTGTCGTAATACACGGATTAATCCAATAGTAAGGACAGTGGACAAAACTAGCAAAAGTGATGCATGTCGAAAACGTCGTCTACATCTCAAAAAACGCATCGCATGAATTGTGAGGTCTTCAGCTCAGTTTATTCTAAGCTGCAAATAAAAATAACATGACATAACATTAAAGAACGACAATAGGCCCTTTGTTCCACTTGGTCATCCTATTTACTAAATTAAACTAAATAACAACAACAAAAAAAAAAAACTCTCAGGGACTTCCTTATCATTCTAATATTTATCAAGCTTTCTCTTAAATTATTTTATTAAGTAAACTGCATTTACAATATCTGAAGGCAATCCGTTCCAAACGACAAACCCCTTGTTCAAAAAATAAAGCTGTCTTAGCTAAAGATGACTTCTTCCCTGCCAAAATGTATACTTGTGTCTTCTAGTCTTAACCATTCTCACCATTAAATACGAAAAAGTATAAAACACCAACAGTATCAATTCCCAAAACAATCGTAAACACCCCAACTCTAACTCTTCCTTTTCCAAAAGAAAACAACTTCAGAGATTTTAACCTAACCCCGTATGACAACCTTGCCGTCCCACGCATCATCATAGTAGCACTTCTCTGAAACACCAACTCAATGTCTTTCTCTCTCTCTCTTTTTCCGAATCGAGATTTAGGCCGTTTTTAGGTCAGTTAGACCTCTTCCTCCCTTCTGTACTGTTGTTATAGTTTTCTTGGGTTCGGGTTTTTTGTTTTTTGTTTTTGGTTGGCTGGTTTGATATAGAATTGTTGATTTCTATTACTACTTTCCTTCTCAATGTCTTTTCTAAGTTTGTTTCTTTGTTTTTGAATTTCGCGCAAAGCTACACGATGACTATCCATCGAGAGAAATCGAACGCCGCATTTAAGCATTGTAAGTCTGTAAAGTTACCTGCCGGAGTACTTGAAAAATATCAAATTACATCGTACCCATTTTCTGATATGACAAAAGTAAAAACGGCTTCACTATCTACTCTTAATATTAAATAACGTGTAAAAGGGTTGTAAGCTATATTTTCATTGTTTAAATTTATATGTTTGCTAGATGGAGCATGACGTTAAAATCAAGTTAGTTTATAAAAGTAGTCATAGAATATCTAGAATGTTAATGATCGAAATACTTTATCAAATATAATGAAATAAGGTTACGTTATATACAGAGAATCAAATAAGCATTGAGTCAGTTTTCAGTTAGTAGCGTGCCAGTCAAAGTCAATTATTCAAAACAGTGTTAGTTATCGCGTATATTCAGTTACTTGATCGATTAGTCGTGAAATTATACAAGTTTATTTGTACGTTAGTCGTTGTAGTATTAGCGAGTAAATTTCTGTTGAAAGTATATACATAACTGGTGAACAAGTAATTGTAGCCTGTAGCAAACATTAAGGAAGAAATAAACTAACGCTGTCGTTAAGTGGGCTGTACTTTGCGTTATTTTAATCAAATAATTTAAAAGAAACCACCCAACGAAAGAATAGGTTACAACAATAGCATTTAAAATTTATCTGTTTTTCTTCCAAAGTCACTTATGATCTGTTTATTTGTTTGTGGTTAATAACAAAGCTACACAATAGGCTATCTGTGTTGTGTCCACCACGGGTATCGAAACCCGGTTTATAGCGTTATAAGCCTTCAGGCTCGGTGCTGGAAGGAGTCACTTATAGAAGACAAAAGATAAGTTTGAAATGTTGTTTTTACCGCTTCTGATTTTGAATTCGCAATAGAAAAATTAAGAATATGGAGAAAAAACAACAATATCTGCAGAATCACAACTTTTAGGCGTAGTGGTTTCTAATGCTTCGTCAGTTTTCGGCGTTTAAACTGTAGCCTCACTATCATGCTGTACTTCTTATATTTATGTTTAATAACAACATACCACGAATTACTTTATCTTGACTTAAACGATGTTCTTTTTCTTTTTTAAATAAGAGCAAACTGATGCCGATATTTTTTCATAAGGTAAACTAACGTCTAAATTAAATGGTAACAAATAACTTAATAACAATTTTCTGTAATTCATGACCAAACATATCACTAACACTTAAAATCGTGATTAACGAAAAGAAAGTTCACGCTGCAAATAATCTAAAAGTAAAAGTAAAACGCATACTTTCTTGGATTGTAAAATAGATGAAATTCCTTTAACTTAAAAATATTTAATAAATAAATATACTCTACATGCATCATCCTTTTATTCTCAATTTTAATTAACTAGAGATACATACTGTAGCTGTATTTGTTTATGGAGGATGGGATAATTAACTAGTTTTTGTTTACCTGTTTAACCCTCGAATTACCATATTGTATTTATACCGTTTACTACCGGTGGGGTCCATTTAGTGCAATATATTGAGTAATTGTATATTTTTGCCTTTTACGATATTCAGTCAGTATAAAAAACTGATAAGAAGGGATGAAATCACCCAGTTTCTATCTAAAATACATATGCTACCTTAGCAGTAATTAGTAGGATTAATTTCAATATTTATTGCATTTCTGTTTTAATTTTTAGTGTAATTTGTAAGTTATTATAGACCTACAAGCAGAATGGGTGCATAAATAGTTTAGAAAACGTGTTTTAAAAGCCGATGCGTAAATTCTAGGGTTACTCACCTGCAAAACTGGCAATGAAATTTGTATTGTGAATTGGTGCCATTATTTGATATATTATTATAAGTTTCAAGATAAACGTTTCATAAATTTCAATTTGTTCTAACGAAATATGACTGCGTTATAACGACAGTGTACCAACTTTTTTTGAAGTTGTTACCGAATATAAGACGGGTATTCTCTCTTAACACCAAATTTTCCTTGTAACGCTGCACCACGAAAAAGCAAAATAATCCGCTACTGTGAGATATCTTACGAATACAAAATGTTTAACTATCAGCATTGTGCTAGTACAAACCAATAACTATCCCTACGGTCGTGGTGAGTTTGTTTGTTTTGAATTTCGCGCAAAGCTACACGAGGGCTATCTGCGCTAGCCGTCCCTAATTTAGCAGTGTAAGACTAAAGGGAAGGCAGCTAGACAGCACCACCCACCGCCATCTCTTGGGGTACTCTTTTTTCCTCT